GTAAAAGACAAACTTTCCTAATGGAACTTGGAACATTAACAGACTCCAATGAATGTGTGTAGTATGTGCCAAGTGTCTGGGAGTGAGGGAGAGGCAGGGAGGGAGAGAGAGAGGCAGGGAGGGAGAGTGAGAGGCAGGGAGGGAGAGAGAGAGGCAGGGAGGGAGAGAGAGAGGCAGGGAGGGAGAGTGAGAGGCAGGGAGGGAGAGAGAGGCAGGGAGGGAGAGAGAGGCAGGGAGGGAGAGTAAGAGGCAGGGAGGGAGAGAGAAAGAGGCAGGGAAGGAGGAAGGGAGAGAGGGAGATGAAGGGAGATAGAGGGAGGAAAAAAGGAGGGAGAGGAAGGGAGGTAGGGAGAGAGAAAGAGGGAAGGAGAAGGAGAAGGAGAGAGAGGAAGAGAGATAGTTAGAGGGAAAGGAAGTGAGAGAAAAGGAGGGAGAGAGTGGGAGGGAGGGAAAGAGCGAGGGAGAGGGAGAAAGGAAGAGGAATAAAGAAGAGAAGGAGAGTAGAGAGAGATAGAGACCGAAAGAGAGATTGAGAGAGAGAAATAGAAAGAAATAGATAGGCTAGACATATAGACTAGATAGGTAGGCAGGTAAATAGAGAGACAGGTTGATAGGTAGATATAGACAGGCAGATAAATAGATAAAATACAGATAAATACGCAAACAGATATAGAAAGAAATTAAAAAAACTGATATCATTAAAACTTTAAGAGCTATACCTCTAATTTTGTTTTAGAGTTATTCATACCATTAAATCTTTCTGATAGGTCCACGTATTAGCATTTGCATGTCCCCAGTTCCGTATGTGTTCGTCTGGCTTGTAAACAATTCACGTGTCTTGTTGGGACACCTGTTGCATTGCCTGAGGTTGAGAGAGTTAAGAGACACTTAGGATAATTATTCTGAACCAACGTTTAAGGATTGTTATTTCATCTGGGTTGGACTTTTAACTATTTTTGTTTCCTCGTGTGTTGGGTAATGTCATGCGTTTATTCTTGAATTTTGTGACTTTGGTCTTTATTGGCTGAACTTCTTATGCTAGAGCAATAGCTTATGGTATCAAGAGCTGGTGTTTGCGTAACAGAAATCTTCGTTTTAATAGAGAGTTTATTTCTTATGAGGCTTTGATAAATCTATGTGCCCATTGCTTTTCTATAGATATTATTATCGACGTGGGTGTCATTTACCTGTGCATATGTTTTTTATATTTTATTTTTGAAAATTTATCTATTATTAATTGGTTAATTAATTATTTTTATTACTGTTATTATTTGTTTATTGTTGTTATTATTATTATTATTTTTAATTTATTTTTACAAAAGTGCTCTGTCTTATGAAGCAGCCTACAAACTTTATAGTAGTGTCTACATGAATTTAAGCTATATTTTGTCGACTATCTATAAAGATACATTATTTGGATTTCCTTAGAAGCCGCTGATCTCGATATATCCTTTTGCTTGTAGTAGTGTCTTTTGAATTTTATGATTTCATTTCAGTTGGTTACAGATTGAATAAATTGTGAATTATTGGCGTACTGAACGAAAAGGCAGTTTTGGGCTATGGTCGACAGATCGTTTACGAAGAGTGTGAACAGAATCGGGCCAAGTATAGATCCCTGTGGAACACCGAAAGATACCAATTGTTTTTGTTAAACTATCCACGTGAAATTTGATCTAATTGGATTTTATTTGTTAAATATTTTTTTAAACAAATATTTATCACGGTAACTCGATTATATACATTGTCATGAATTATATATGTGAGTTGTAATAACTCTATTTGAGCATACTTCTAAGACCAAGTTGTATTGTGGATAATAGGCCATTGGGTAATAAGCCATTAGTCTCCAGAAATGTCAAATGGTCTGCTACATATTCCTTAAGGACTTTAGACAGTATAGAAAATATGGTAAAAGAGCGATTATTAACTCAGCTTTGAAAACTGGTGTTGCAATGTCATGTTTCCATAGCGAATGGAAGTCACCAGCGACTGCAGATGTGTTTGTGAAAGCATGAACCGTCTTTGTTCTGACAGATGTAGTAAAGGTTTGAGTGAGATTGAATGTCTTCACAGTACAGATGATGTATTTAATCGGCTTCAATTATATCTTCCTCAGAAAGATGCATTTCATGTATTTCTGACGAAGATATAATGGAAACTAATTATATACATCTCATTCATACCTTTTCTACATTCATAGCAGTTCAATAATACGCCATTCCAAACAGACTGTCTCTAAGAAAGCTAACGACAAAACCATTCGTTCCTACAGCATTTGCGTCGCGTTGGTATTTTAATATCAAGATTACTGTTCCTGATTTTTACCCGTTGTCGTCTGAGAGAATGGGATAGGGACCTACTCCTGCCTGTATTTTGCCGAGATGTGGAAGATGTTATTCCCTCTTATGTGAGTTTTCCAATTATGGCGAAGTCATTAAAAATCTTCCTTACTTATTCTGGACTTTAAACTAATATCTAATGTTTTGTTTGATAAGTATGA